TCCGGACCGCCATGTTTCTACAGTCAGGTCCAGAAAAGACAAACCATCACATTGGCTCTACGACTACCCGGGCTTTCTTCTCACGTTTAAGTCGTGAGGTTTTCTTGGCCCACCATCAGTTCTTCCCTTCAAAACTCTGGAAGAGGAGACACTGAACATTTAAAATTTTCTGTCCAAGCCACAACGTAGTTGTATCCCTACCAGAGATAGGGCTTGCACGTTTTTTTCTGCGTGCTTTCACAGCACCATCATTTTCTACTACACGGTTTGCCAAGGCGGGATCGATGAGGGATCTGTGGAATCTCCAACTACACACCCTACATGCACTACAGCCTACAAACTGGACCATTTTAATTGATAATTAGAAAGATCCGCATTGCTAGCTGTCGCCCCTGGTTCAGTCTGTCATTCAGTCCTCAGCTGCGTGTGGCCGCTTGGTGCCTCCCAGCATGAGTTTTTTTACTCCCTTTCTTTTGGTCTGTCACAGATACAAGAGAACAGGAAATCCCCAACTTCAGCGCTGATTAGCAACATTGTGGTGTTTTTTTTTTTTTACAGACGTCAGATTCTTGTCTGTGATAGAAAAGTAGCTGGACTAACTTCTCTTTATTGTCTGCCTTCATCAGTCCTTGTTTGATCTCACTCTTCTCTTTCATGCAATTCCTGCTTTCCTCTCATCTTTCGATAGCCTTTTACTCATTCTTTCTGTTTTTTCTATTTCCCCTTTTTTCAGTCTGTGTTGTTTCTTGTGTTGAAGCACCACTGACAAACAGGCTGACACACGTCTCTCTTCCTCTGTCGTTCTTCTCTCCTTTTTTCTGTTTCTTTCCATGCCTCTGTTTTCCAAAACCTAGATAACAATCTTCCTTTTCTTTTCTTCTCCACCTCTCTTCATTTGCTGTTTTCCTCCAGGCCTCGAGATTGTGTGGATAAGGGACACCTGTCGCAGTGCTGTGGCGTTTGTGTGTGTGATCATAGACCAGGTCCGGGTGTTTGGGTGAAGAATGAACTTTAAAGAGTCTAGAAGACAAAGCAGACAGTAGGGCTGCTATCAGGCTGAATGGAGCTGAGGATCTGTTGGTCTTTTAGGTCTACAAAACACTTTCTTACTGAAGTCTGCTGTGTTGTGACTACTGGAAGAACCAAGACTGTGTTATCTGGGGGATTACTTATGAATTTGGCATGTAGATTTTGGTAAACATGGATATAATAATACCAAACAAGAAGATTTAAAGGAATTTGAACTGTAAATGAAAAGCTCACAGTTTTGGACATACTGAAAGACGTATGTGTGGTTTCAGGAGTTTGAGGACACTGGGCTTCCTCCCCAAAAACAAAAGAATGTTATTTCTATTTCCTGCATCTTCAGCCATCATCTCCACCATGACGAGATTGCTCATCCTGAAATTGGTCGTGTTAGTCAATCATGACATAATTTGTGCACTAACTCGTCAAGAACACCAGACTTGGTTGTGTGGATAGAGACCTGAGATAGAGCTCATTTAACCAGAACTTTAACCACAAAACTACATGCAAAGACTTCAAGACTTAAATATAGTTGAGTTACCAAAACTAAAATTGGCGACTAAAACGATAACAAGTGTTTATAGCTGTCCCTAAAGGCCACACTCAAATGTGGGGAGAAAAGCAGCCATAAAGAGGGACATTCAAAGTTTCGCACTTTGAATGCTTCTGACACTTGTTGTGTTTGCCAAAAAATGTGTGCAACGAATGAAAAAAACCGAGCTGAAACCTGGCTTACTTTCCACGCCTCCCCACATTGAGCCAATTGCTGCATGAAATGGGTGTCAGTGAATAGTTGGTTTTGGAAAGTTACAGAAATTGTCAGACGTATCTTCTCTAGTTCCAGTGACGGAAAAATGTCATGGGAGAAGTTCCCAAAGCTGTTAGAACATCAGGCAATCACTTTGGTTGAAGCATACTGATGGGTAGCTGTTACCTGTATTCACCTCTGGTCTATTTTACTATGTTAGAATTGCACGCTGTCCCCAGTACGTCAGAATCTTAAATGAAGAAGCGGTAGAGAAAGTGAATGTCCATGTGTTTTGTTTTTTTTGGCCCTGAATATTGTCTGCAGGCTCCAAAGTATACTGCTACTGCCAAGTGAAGGGTAGTGATAGATCAATTGGCCGGCCGATTAATCAGGCCAATTATCTGTCATTTTGGGATAATCTGCATTGGCCTTTGCCTGTGTCATGAGGCAGAATAACATTAGGCTGCTGTGGAACGATGCTTGCGCTCCTCTTCTTGAGTTTTGGGAAGGCGGTGAAAAAAGTTAGTTTAGAGTCCTTTACTATATCTCAATCAATCATCCTGCTGTAAATGTTAACGGTTTTCTCCTAGCATGCAGCAATATCGGTTACTGGGTAGATTAAATAATGTATTATGCTATAATGTTTAGAATAATACGGTTGAATGATGTTACTTCTGACATACTGTACCAGTCACAATCTGAAATATACATTTTATGTTCATATTATTAATATACATAACGCAATGTACTTCATTAATTAATAAAAAATCAATCACAAAACAAGTTGCAACAACTAGATAACATGAATATTAGATTGTAATGTGCA